AGCGTTAGCTTCGTTTTTGTTCGAGCATTTCCTGAGGAGGTTCTGTACATTATTATGAGCTACAGTAACCACATATTTAAAATATGCAGTGTGTCGAAAAAAAAAACAAAAACGCCCTGCTCTAAATAAAAATATGAAGACTGTTTTAGCGATTCATCTACCTGGTCTCCAAAGTTCATCTTTACAGCTTTTAATGTAAAGAGAAAAAAAACTCTTTACACAAAAAAACAAACAAACAAACAAACAACAAAGATTCTCGTATAGTATTTATAATGCGTATAAATAGCGGCCTGTTCCTTTATCTGTCAAAGAGACTATTTTTACTTTCTTCTTCTCCGCTCTTAATTATAATGTTGGACAGGATTTTTCCAACACAAGTAATGTATGTCAACCTGTTATGCTTTTCTTTTTTAATTTGCTTCCATAGCAGTTGCCCATCCAAGATAAAAATACACTTCAGCAATTCTTTAATGTAAGAGTTTTCTTTCCTAGATGAGTTGCTGGTCGCAGCCATTGAGCCTAGCTACGCACGGATTCGAACTCGAGACCCCGAGCATTTTTATAACGAACCACAACTAGTGTTAAGGACGGAGTGGTCTAGCGGTAAAAAGCTGGACTTCTAACACGTAAGTCGCGAGTTCGAATCCGGGTTCAAGGCAGTAGACCGTCCCTGAGTCCACCCAACTCTGATGGGTACCTAACTCACGTTAGGGAAAGTAAAAGCGGCTGGGCATAGTGCTGACCACACTATCTCTTCATATGCCGAGGTCACAGAAACAAGTGAACTCTACTTCACTTGCCCCACAGACCGTCAGGTTTGAAAGAGACGCTAAAGAGGAAAGACAATATATTGTAATTGTACAAAAAATGCGTCTTTTTTTGTCCAGCGCGTCGAGTAAGCGAAAATATCTGTAGGTGGTAAGTATTTAAAAAAGTTTATAACATAAAGAAGTTTCAAGAAAATAATTTAAAGTGGAGCTGCCGTTCCCGCCTACTCCCTCCCCCTTCGTGCGTCTGCCACAAAGACACATTTATGTTAGGCCAAGTCGCCAAAAACATTTTAAGCAGGCGATTATAAAATTATTTCCCAGAAAATCGCGACTGCTAATGACTCATGTTTAGAGCGTTTTGGCATCTGAAATAGCGTGGCTAGCGCTGTCCTCTAAACGTCGCCACGACGTCATATTTGGCCGGTACACCTGTCATATCAAACATATCCGGGACTCGCAGCTTTATCTTGTAGATCAGGGGTCTGCAAACTTTTCAGTCCGAGGGCCGCATTAACTATCAAATTTCAGTTCGGGGGCCAGTTTCTTCCAGAAATGTCTTTGATTTTCCGGGAAAAATTCCTCCGCCATCACCAACAAACTTTTTTTCCTTGGACAAAAAGATCTCCGCGGGCCGGATGAGAGGACTTCGCGGGCCGCATCCGGCCCGCGGGCCGTAGTTTGGAGACCCCTGTTGTAGATGAATCATACAAACCGCGCTGAGACACCGAATGAACATCGGATATAGTTACCGGGGCCGACGTTGTGTTCATCAAATGCAACACATTTTTTCCCCCACAACAATGTCATTCAAGATCACGTGTCGGTCTAAACCCGAAACCGGTTGAATGTAATTAATTCCGTTGTAGATTGCGGTTGCTCTGGTTATTTGTGTGTAAAAGTATTTATTTTCTATGTAAATTCGATTTAAAAACTCTGTTCTCATCCCAACCTTTACCCTAGGTGACCTCATCTAACCCGAGGGGTGGACTGGAGGGGTGTCTAACTATGAATACATGACTAATAATCAGGAACTTACATCCCTTAACCATCAAACCTTGTGTTTAGTTAATGGACTTAGCCACATAAGAGCCATACGCATTACAAATACTAAAGTATATCTCGATTACAACTTACAATAATTATTACATTCAGAAGAATAGTAAAACGATGGACCTTGCGACATTTAAAAATAACAGTTTATAACAAGTCACCACATTTTGTCTTGGAATTTTGCTGCCAATTTTTCTCAGAAAATATTTAGCTTTTGTACCTTGGTGTTTACTTTCGATTCAGTTCGTTGTTGCGTTAAAACACAATGTCGGAAAAATATTATGAAAATATCTCGTAGGTTATGACAATATCTCGAGTAGTATACCTAATCCTACACTATTTTCGGTTCTATGTTTGGCATTCTTTGCAATGCCTAGGCAAAGCATACGATATGATTTATTCTGTACTTTGTGAGGCTATTTCAGGGATTATTTTTTTTTTTAGAATAACTGTAAAACAAGTACTTGAAACCAGGGGCGTAGCGAGGGGGGGGGGGCGGGGGTGCACCGGGTGACACCATTTAGGGGGGTGACACCAAGGCAAAAAATAGCAAAATATATAGAGAAAAACTTGAGGGGGGGGGTGCAAATCGAAAGTTTGAGGGGGGGGGGTGCAAATCGAAAACTTGAGGGGTGGGGGTGCAAATCGAAAGTTTGAGGGGTGGGGGTGCAAATCGAAAATTTGAAAGTTTGTCCTCGGGAAGGGTCGCCACGACTCTGGGGGGGGGGGGGTGACACCATCAAGTGCCGCACCGGGTGAAACCCGACCTCGTTACGCCACTGCTTGAAACTACCTACAATCATCCAATGGTCTATTAGACTATCGTCTACGGAGCCATACATATAATATAGACCAAAGTAAACCAGAGGCCTAGCAACAATCCCCCCCCGGCGCCCGGGACAAACTTTCAATTTGTACCCCCCATATATTTTTTATATTTATAATTCAAAACTGCACCTCGAATACGTTTATCTTTTTTTCCAACCTATTTCGGCGCCCCTAGGGTCGCCCCACCCCACCGCTACGCCTCTGCAGTAAACAACATGAAAAACAAATAAAGACCAACCAACTCAGGTTGAAAAGTTGTCTATCCAGCCTAACACAGATTGACCTTGGCCTTGCCAGGATAACGAAGAGTTCACCTCTGTGGGCTGATAGCAACCCGGAAGTCTGACGTCATTGTACTTAAAGTACAAAGGTGTTTATCAAGGTTGTGGTATCACGGTACGCTTCACATGTAACTGGTGTTGGTATTTGGTGTTATTGACTGGTGTTATCGGACGGTGTTATCAGCTGTCGTCAGCAGTGTTATAAATAATTTTGTTTTGTTTCGGTTGTTGGACTGGGTTAAACATCTGTTGTAGCCTGTTATGTTTTTTTTTTTTTTTTTTTAGATTTACTGTTAAGGTTCTTATCGTTTGTGTATTTACACAATTCGATGCATCTTAGACACGGGGACGAGAAAAGGTATGTTTGGAGATGAACTCAACACGTGTGTGTGGCACTTGTTGTCCTTGTAGATAGAGTGGGGACTGCGCTTCTAGTAGCTGAAGGGAGGGGGGGGGAATGGGGGTGGGGTGGTGTGACATGTTGCCGCTGTAGAGGGGGGGGGGGGGGGGCACCGCTTTTCGCCGTTGTAGAGGGGGAGGGGGTGACACGTCGCACTAGGGGGAGTGGGAGTGGCATTTGTTGCCGTTGTACAAGGGGGTGGGAGTGACACGTTGTGGCTGTAGAGAGGGGAGTGGGGGTGACTCGTAGCCTCTGTAGAGGGGGTAGGGGTGGAACGTGTCCACTCTGTAGAGGTGGGTGGGGGGACACGTTGATGTAGAGGTGGTTGGGGGGGACACGTTGATGTAGAGGTGGGTGGGGGGGGACACGTTGCTGTAGAGGTGGGTGGGGGGACACGTTGATGTAGAGGTGGTTGGGGGGGGACACGTTGATGTAGAGGTGGGTGGGGGGACACGTTGCTGAAGAGGTGGGTGGGGGGACACGTTGATGTAGAGGTGGGTGGAAGACACGTTGCTGTAGAGGTGGGTGGGGGGCACGTTGCTGTAGAGGTGGGTGGGGGGACACGTTGATGTAGAGGTGGGTGGGGGGACACGTTGATGTAGAGGTGGGTGGGGGGACACGTTGCTGTAGAGGTGGGTGGGGGGACACGTTGCTGTAGAGGTGGGTGGGGGGACACGTTGCTGTAGAGGTGGGTGGGGGACACACGTTTCTCGAGAGGTGGGTGGGGGGACACGTTGCTGTAGAGGTGGGTGGGGGGACACGTTGCTGTAGAGGTGGGTGGGGGGACACGTTGCTGTAGAGGTGGGTGGGGGGACACGTTGCTGTAGAGGTGGGTGGGGGGTGGGGGGACACGTTGCTGTAGAGGTGGGTGGGGGGGACACGTTGCTGTAGAGGTGGGTGGGGGGACACGTTGCTGTAGAGGTGGGTGGGGGGACATGTTGATTTAGAGGTGGGTGGGGGACACGTTGATGTAGAGGTGGGTGGGGGACACGTTGCTGTAGAGGTGGGTAGGGGGACATGTTGCTGTAGAGGTGGGTGGGGGGACACGTTGCTGTAGAGGTGGGTGGGGGGACACGTTGCTGTAGAGGTGGGTGGGGGGACACGTTGATGTAGAGGTGGGTGGGGGACACACGTTTCTCGAGAGGTGGGTGGGGGGACACGTTGCTGTAGAGGTGGGTGGGGGGACACGTTGCTGTAGAGGTGGGTCGGGGGACACGTTGCTGTAGAGGTGGGTGGGGGGACACGTTGCTGTAGAGGTGGGTGGGGGGACACGTTGCTGTAGAGGTGGGTGGGGGGACACGTTGCTGTAGAGGTGGGTGGGGGGACACGTTGCTGTAGAGGTGGGTGGGGGGGCACGTTGCTGTAGAGGTGGATGGGGGGACACGTTGCTGTAGAGGTGGGTGGGGGTGATTCGTTGCCGCTATAGAGGTGGGTGGGGGTGTCACGTTGCATCTGTAGAGGTGGGTGGGGGGAACACGTTGACAATGATGCAGTTGTATACTATTATGGTTCATATGAACTTGATACAGTTCTATAATAATATGGTTCATATGAACTTGATACATTTCAATACAAATATAATAAAACTAATAGTTAATTAAATAAAATTACATTTTGCCTTTTGTAAAGTTGTTTAATAAAAATAATAAAAGTATCATTGTGGAAAAAATG